ATTTTTTCACTAAAAATGATTTTAGTATCTTTTTCTAGCAAGGAATTACAATTTCCAGGACTTTTGTAAAACATTTTGCAATAATTAATGATAATTTTAATTATTTTAAATTTAACTTTGACTTTGAATAACCGTTAAACCAACGTTTAATTTTCTACAAAAGTATGTATCTTTTGAAATCCCCTACAAAAAAACAGTAACAACTCAAAATGTTTAATGTTTTCAACTCCCTCCCAAAATGTGGAAACAAGAAATGTGTGTACATGCATACATACATATTGCCGTCTTGCGCGGAAACCTACAAGATTTGATCACGAAATTTGTGTACAATATGAAGAAGCGCGATATAACAAGTAATTCTGCATCGCTTGCTCAAAAATATCGGATTTTGCGTTATCAAAGTCTTTTTAGTAAATGGGCGATATGTTAGTTTGTTTACTAGTTTAAAATTATACGTACTCAGGTAATGTTTACCCAGCCAGCAAGAAAACGTACATTTTACGAACATTATGTTTTACGAGGGATTCTCGTATCGCCAAAAAGTTAGAGAAAAGCTCGTAAACGATAGAACAAAAAAATATAATAGAAAGAGGCTTGTAGTAATTTGTCAGCACAAGAAAAAATTTTAGTTTTGTTCATGGTGTAATAATAACAAGGTGTTGTCAGTAACTTAACCTCACTTTTTCGGCAGGTCTATTCCGGTCACGCATTTTAAAGTAGTAGAAAAAGTACTAATTATTTACCACTTTTAATCCGTTCGTGCATACTATTTCAAATTAAATGTAGAAAAATGTTTAATTACAGGCTTATAAGCCTGAATATATGTTTGTATCGTAAGCTCCACACAGGTTGCACATATTTTGTAACTTTTAAAAAAGTACAGGCCGTAAAATAAGGCAATTTCGTATAAAATTGTAAATGATTTTTTAAATAGATTAGTAATAATAATAATAGATTGGCGCTTACACATTTGGCCGAGCTTCTCCTCCGACTTGCGGCGTGCGCCTTGATGTTGTCACACAAAGCGGAGGGACCTACAGTTTTACGCCGACTCCGAACGGCGATTGCATTTTTATGAGAAGCTGTTTTTAATGGCAGTAATACACTCGGTTGTTTGCCATTGCCTGCCGAGGGATGACCGCTGTTAAGAAAAAACCTTTTTTCTATATTTTTTGCTATGTTGCTTTGACCAGGGCTTGAACCCAGCTGCTGCGGAGTGGAGCGCGCACTGCTTACCACTACGCCACAGCGGCTGACATATAGATTAAAACACATAGATATCGATAATATAAGCGAAGTCGTAATTTAACCATGCTGCCGCTCTATTCTAGTGTATCGGAAGTCCATTTGGCTCGATATTATGGCAATGCAGCAAAAGATATTTAATATAAAAAAATCGCATTTCCATACGATTTTTGTGTACGTCTTTTTCCATTGATAACTACGATATCTTTTATATTTTATATTTTGAGTACAAAAATTATACAAATCCAGCAATTTTAAATATTAATATCGTTCTGAAAACACCAAGTTCTTTAAAAATCACGATAAAGTTAAATACTAAAATGAAGTATTTTAAATACAATTTCCCAACTAATAGAATTATAAAAAATTAAGATCGGCAGCACTGAAAATAAGCATGCCGATCTTGTCAAAATTACAACAAACACGTCGCTATTGACAACACCTTGTTATTATTTCACCATGGTTTTGTTGACAATTTTTCTTCAATCACAATATTTTATAAGTATGTAAGTAGTTTGTTAAATATTCAATTTAAGAAAGTTATTAAGTATGTGACTTATTGGCAGACTGGTGCAAACGCAAAGGACGATCTACCAAGAAGCCCATTTAAGGAAAAGCATGCATTTATGGAATATGGAAAAGACCTTGGGAGTTCAAGTGAAAAACAACAATTATTGGTAACTAAAAACATAAATTAATCATAATAAAATAATTTTTATAGCATTCTTTAAGCACTTTATAGGTTTCTGAACTCGAAGCTATAAATATTTTAAATGTAGATAAATATTTAAGAACGTGCTGGCGGAAAATTATTACAGATGAGGTAGCAGAACTTTTCTCGTGGAAGGGAACTGGTACCAAAAGCAGCGCTATTGTTTTGGCAACGACTGCGGCAATAAGAAGTACGGATAATAATATTATTTATTACCACTTTTTACTTAATTGAATTTTCCGATTTCCAATGGAGTTTAATCTTTCACTTTATTTTCTTAGGTGCTTGTCGTCAAAAATTTAACTCCGACGAAGAAGTTTTTATTTCTGTTTCAAAGAAGCACTTCCAATATGCACACGACCGGCAACAAAAAATTGGCAGCCTATCGGCAAAAAAGATAAGAAATAAATTCAGCTACTTTATAATATATATTAAACCCCTCTTATTTAATTGTTAAATTGTTATTAGATAGTTTGTTAATATTTATTTATCTGAAAATATCTTCACATATACAGTGCCGGGAAAAAATATTGGCACAGAGAATTATTCGCCATGAATGCAAAGTTTTTTATTCTGATTTCTTCTCTAATTGTTTTTTATAAAAATATAGCTAGTATGAAGTTCTACTTTCAGATCAGATTTTTTAGAAAAATTCTAAGTATGTAGTTTTATAGCCCATTTAATTTTAGTATAATAAAGTGCACGCTTGAATAGCTAGAAAACCTCTTTGTTTTTTGGCAATTTTTTATACGCAGTTTCTTCCATACAAGAAAAAAATGTCGCACATAATTTGCATGGAAGAAACTGCGTAAAAAACTTGCCAAAAATCAACGCGGTTTTCTGGCAACTTCAAGCTTGCACTATGTTATACTAAAATATAATAGGATATAAAACTGCATACTTAGAATTTACCTCAAAAATCTGATTTGAAAGTAGGTCTTCATACTAACTATATTAAAAAAAAAAAATGTGCGAAAAGAAATTCAAGTAAAAAACTTTGCACACATTGCGAAAAATTCTCTGTGCCAATACTTTGATCCGGTACTATAAATATTTATTAATTATAATTCCATTCAATAAAATAACTACAATAATTTGAATTTATTAATTGCCTTTATTTTTAGCATTCAAAAACAGTAGATAAAGCAGTGTAAAAAAACGCTTTTTTAACGTAAATTAATCGTTTACGAGACTCGTTTACAATTAAAAAACGGACGTAAAAAGATTCGCATACGAATGCTTTTTCGATCCGTTTACGACTGCTCGTAGGCGATGCACAATTTAAAGCGAAAAAGTGTTCGAAAAAGAGTCGTAAACGGCTATCATAAACGATTTTTAATCCGGTTTTTCTTCGAGAAAATATCCAATTACGAGCTTGTTTACGATGATTTTGCTGGCTGGGTAGTGGCTTGATAGCTGAAATCTTGCCACAATGAACCTTCAATATCCGGATTACTCGCTAAAATACCATCCAAGTCTGTCATAAACTCAACAACTGGGAATAGACCCAGCTCGTCTAGATTTAAGATGAATGCATCTAAATCGGCGAAATCGTACATTGGCACTCCGGCTGTACTGTACTGAATAAATTTAACAAGTTTTAGCAGCCAGTGAATGCGTATGTGCGTTATCGCTCCTGCGGGTAGTGCTGTTATGTGCAACAGATTCATTTGTACCGCCTCGGAGAAAAAAAACAGCCTTCAAACTTTCTCGCCTAATTTCTCCCATTGGACAAAAGCCTGTACTTGTCCAAAACCGTGGCAGTTCATAGTACGATTCTTCCTCAGTGTAGCTGTTATTTTGCAGACGTTTAAATGCCAGCAGGTATAAAAGCAAAGTTCCAATCATTTTTACGGACCAACCGATAGATTTGTTTCACGCAAATGCAATTTGTACTTAAATAAATACATATGTATGTATATACATATGTATGTATATAACATATTAATGAACTTACATGTGTATGTATCATTGTACCATGTATATATGAAGAAAATATCATTAGAACAGCTGACAAGAGCTGATAAGAGAGACCTGCACAGTGGGGTAAAAATATAATTCTTCCCCGAAATAATATTTCAAAACTTCTTTAGCACATACATATGTAGGTGCATATGCCGTAAAAATCTTATTCAATAAATATATGGTGGATAACATCACATTTAGAGCCTCAAATTTCGCATATGGAAATCATGCGGTAAGGTGTCGTGCACAGAACCGTGTGAACGCAGACCGCAAAACAGAAGGCGACACTTAATTTCTGTATGAAAAGCTAGTAAATATTTTCGTGGAAAAGTAATCGCATTCTTTTTTCACCATAATGGAAAATCTGTAGGCTGTGAAAACTTCACTGCTGAAATCAGCATTTTCTAATGCTTGTTCTTCGGCAAATACACTCCTAGTTATTTGAATAGCCCTCCATTTTGATCCTTGAGTATGTACCGTTTTCCTTTTGCTTTCTTAATATTCATCAATTTTTTTATACAAATTTAAATTTTATGACCTGCGGTGTATAAGTTAATAATATTTTTAGAAAAATTTTGGGTATCTAGTTTTGTAGCCCAATTTTAGTGCAAGTTTCAAGTGGTTACAAAATACCGTTAGGACGCACCTTTATTGACATGTTTTTAAAATCGAATTTACACGTAGAATATGCTACATTTTTATAAAAAATCAATCTGCCTCCTCCTGAGTTTCACTAAAAAAAAAAATCGCCTAAAGATTTTTCATCCGCCCATAGCAAATACATACATACATACATACATGGTTCGGAGAATATGAAACTCATCATAAGGCGCTGAATGAATATTAAACAAAAAAAAACAAAACTGTACATACTGAGCACGAAAAGGGTGTGCTATTCGAGCGACTGGGAGTGTAAGTGCGAACGAGAATAAAAAAACTCTACAAAGCTCACCGAAACCAACAACAACCACTTCCACTTCATGCTAAATTTTATTGCTGAGTATCACGCCTGTATAAAAGCGAATTAAAGACTTCATGTTTATGGAACTGCTTCTGAGTGGGAAAAGAACCGTGCTATAAGTACATTTTGGAAGCAACCAAGTCCAACTGATAAGACGCGGCCGAAACTGTACATGTGTGCTCTATTTCCGTTTCATTCGTATGCATTAATTCGTTTTGTACCGAAAGTGTGTCTTCTGTGCATTACTTCGTATTCTAAGTTTCCGTATGAACAATTTCATAGTGCTTTTGTACAGATATGTCGCACACATTCGTCAAAAGTATATTAAATCAAAATTCAGTTTGTCTGAATACGCAAATAATTAATTCAATGCTAATATGCATCACAGTTCTAAGGGAGGTATTACCACAGTTTTTTGCAACAAATTACGACAAAATAATGCTTCAGCCTTTCCACGAAGTGTAATATAAGTGTACATATGTAAATATGTAATAGAGGTTTACGCCGACAGGCTTTGCGGTGGCGGCGTGGTCAACTTCAAAAAGAATCCGGCGCGTCTGGAAACGCCGGCGCTACTGCCCATAAGGTAGATTCCAATGAGACATGAGGCTTCTAATCTTATCATATCATCAGATTATAATTCTATTTATTTCATTCATTGAATTCAAATGTTGAGTGACTGCTGCTGATGGATGGGCGAACAGAAGAAAGTCTATATATTATATACATTAGGTTTCCCATCGAAAATGCTTTTTTTTTTGATAATTTAAAGACCCTAACCCCTAACTTGATTCGTTTTTATGAGAAATATTATTGCCAATTTTTATAGATTTTTAAAGGCCATTTAGAGGTCGCGACCTGTCGATTTAGGTCAGAAAATACAATTTTCAAGATTCATGAGTTTTTGAATGACTGTTTTTCCTTGAATTTCAAAGAATTTTTAAATTTTGTCCATCGATAATTTCCACAATTTTAAAATATGTAGTACTAACGTACAAAAAAATGATTTTCGATGGGCACCCTAATATACATATATCTCTATGTACTCTACAAATCCGTATGTACTATTTAAATTTAAAGGTTAAGTTATTGGGGTAACTTATGTCGCTATCAATAAATTTTTGCAATAAGCTTATCAACCGTTATGTTAAATGACGGAGTTCTTACAATTTTTTGCAGGTTATATATTGAAAATAAGGTTGGCCTACTTTTTTCCAAAAGTTTAACCCATCAACTCCCACCAGAACGGGCCTTTTTGGCCCACTGTTTGAAAAATAGTTAAAATTTCCACTAATATACTAAGCACCAAATTTTTCTAAGGAGAACAGAATGTAATGCAAAATAATAGTAATTTTTACCAAAAAGGGGGACTTTAACTCTGTGTAGAAAATATTGCGATGCGCGGAAGCAAAACCTTTCTGGGGTTTGACCACTACTTAGGAATACTAACGTAATTTTCACACAGCCACCTAGTTCTTGTATACGTCTGTGGGACCCCAGAATAAAGTAACTTACGAATGTAAAAATTAGCAAAAAAAACGTTTGCTTTTTATTAAAATTCTGTTTAAAATATTTAAAAAAAAAATACAGGAAAATCTACTGGTCTTTTTTTTATCTCCAATAATTGAGGAGTTAGATGCAATAAGAGCGCTTCTGTTAAAACTGCTTTCTGAGATATTGGCGTTAAAGTTTTGTGTTGTGTATAACTTTATTGTTGATGTAGTATATAAAAAAGTAGGATTGTTGCAGTATTAAACAAAAAATTCTAATTGGCGTTAAAGTTTTTGATGTGCATAACTATATTGTTGATGTAGTATATAAAAAAAAAGTA